AAGGAGAGGCAGAGAGAGAAGTCTTCCATCAGCTGTTTCACTCCCCAAATGGCCGCAATGGCCAGAGCTAGGCTGATCCGAAGCCAGGAGCCAGGAGCTTCTTCCAGGTCTCCCACACAAGTGCAGGGACCCAAGCACTTAGGCCATCTTCCACTGCTTTCCCAAGCCTCAGCAGAGAGCTGGATCAGAAATGCAGCAACAGGGACTAGAACCAGCGCCTATATGGGATGCCACAGCACGGCAGGCGGAGGCTTAGTCCACTACGCCAGAGCACAGGCGCCCATAGTCTACTTTCAACATTTCTTTATTTCTGCCTGTTTCCTGTGCATTAGCAGGCAATGCCTCGTGTGCTCCATGTCTGAGATTATATCCACTGGAGAAACTCTGCAGCTTGGAATCAACGTGTTTATTTATTTAATGTATAGTTTTGTGAGTGTTGTTTATTTTCATTGTTTGGGTTTTCTTTCCTGCAAATAGCTTTATTTTTTTGTTTGTTTGTTCTTGAGAGGCAGAGAAAGAAAGAGAAGCAGAAAGCTTCCAACCACTGGTTCACTCTCCCAAATACCCCCAACAGCCCTCGTTAGGGGCCAAAGCCGGGGGCCAGGAACTCAGTCCGGGTTTGGACGTGGGTGGCAAGGTCCCAGCTACCTAAGCCACCACCAGCTGCCTCCAGCAGGGTCTGCATTAGAATCAGGAGCTGGAGCTGGGAATCAAATCCAGGCTCTCTGACGTGGGACACAGGGCCTGAATCACCAGGCCTAGTGCCTGCTCCCTACAGCTTTTATCATCTGGTATTGAATTGCTTTCCAAGGCCACCACCACTTCCTCCCACAGTGGGTGCCATCTTTCACTTCGTTGCTGGGTTAGAGGTGGAAAATACTTTTTCAGCACTGATGTCATTTTGTACTGGAGAGTGGCAGCGTTTCAAAACTGTACGTTTCCCAGATGGTGCCCCTGTGCTTTAGGCACACAAGCCGGCCTGCTGTTTACAGAGCTAAAGCAGAGAGTCCACGCTGCAACACGGCAGGAACTCAAGGCCCTCCACAGAGTACCTGGCTCATCTCGGCTGGGCCCCGGGGCCAGAACAGGCCAGGGCTGTTGTGGGAGTGGTCATCCAAGCTCAGAGTGGCACAGAGATGCTGAGGGAGGCAGCTGGACAGAAGACTCTGGCTGGACACACAGACAATCCAAAATCTGAAAGTCATGCCCAAGTCTGCACTCAGCTTCCAAAACGGGGGAGTCAGACAGAACCCCTGTAATGCAAAGGCAGGACGGACCTCACCTCTTCTCAGTGGCCCTGGGCTCTGAGTGTCCTTGCCTGTCCTTTACCAAAAGGAACCCAGTGACTTGGGGGAGCGACACAGCTAACCCAACAAGGTTCCAGTCACCAGACCTAACAAGTCATTTGCTTCTCCAGCAGGTAAAACCCTGCTGGCCAGTGTTGCCCAGAGGGCTTTGTTTAGGGGAATTCCAGGTCCAGGCTGGGGGAAACTCCTCGTCTGGGGCAGGAGGGAACTGCTATTTGCATGTAGCCCTTCTCCCTCCTCATCACCCCCCCCCCCCCCCCCAGACCAACTGGAGCCCACCCGGCCTTCGTGAAAATTCCCTGAAGACCGTGACATCGCCAACCAATCAAAGGAGGACATGAGCACCACTGATCAACCAGGAACTTGGACTTGAGCTGATGACACACCTCAGCCCCAATTTCAGATGAGCACCTTCACCCCTAACAACTTGGGGAGCCCAGGGTATTAAGCAGTAACTGCTCGGCTCCTTGCACTACACTTTGCAGTGTATAATCCCCGCTTTCTTCCAGCAGCCCTACGTCAGCACGTGAGGCGTGAGGACCAGGTCTGGGGGTTCTGAAGCAACATCTCCCACTAGTCTGGGGTGCTTTCTTGCAACAGGAGCAGCAGGGATGGAAAAGGCAAGGGACTGGAGCAGGCAGCACGCGAGGCAGCCAAGGCACGATCCAGCCGATGGGAGGAGGAGGGTGCCCAGGACAGGGGGCCAGGAGCAGAGAACCGTCCCTCGGGAGAGGACTGGCGGCACGGGGCTTTCCCCAGCAGCTGCAGGGTCTTGCTAAAAGTGAAACTGTGAATTTCGGAGGGTTCTGGAGGCGTCTGCGCTGGGAGGGAGACGTTTCCCTTGGGGGTCCACGCTGCCTTCAGAGCACCATCTCCTGCTCCGCCCCCCAGGCCCTTGGGGGTCTTCAGGGTCCCCTCTGGAGGGTTCTGAGGCGTCCCAGCCTGGCCAGCCCTGGAGGAACCCCCAGGGTGGGCGGAACTCAAGTGTGCCCGCCAGGACGCGACATCTTGCACCCTCACCACAACGACTCTGGGTAACAGAGCTCCCCTTGCTGAGTGCGTCCCAGGCTCGGGCATTGTGCTGGGAGCTGCGTGACCCCTTCCTTGCTCACGTGCCTAACAGCAGAACGAGGCAGCTATTAGTAACCCCACAGCAGATGAAGGGGCAGGCTCAGAGACCCAGCGGCATCCTCAACACCACACAGCACTTAATCAACCCCAGAGCTGGGCATCTGCCCAGGCAGCCTGATCGCAAGGCCTTCTCTTTTTTCCTCGTGTGCTGTTCTCAGCAACTGTGAGGAGTACAAACCTCTTGAGTTTGGGGGAAAGTGTGGGACAGGCCAGCATCGCCTAATAAAAAAGTTAGAGTTATTGGCTGATTTGATAAAAGACAAAACGAAAATTGATTTTTTTCAAGAGCATCCACAACTCGAAGCAGCCAAACCCAGCTATGCAGCGAGCGAGCAGTTCAGGACAAGTGGCAGGGAGGCAGGGCAGGTGGATCAGAGCGGGCGGGACAGACGGGGTGGCTCAATAGTTAGGGAGGAAGGTGGCGCCAGGTAGACTGGAGCTGCCTGTGTGACCTTGGGCAAGTGAATTAACCTCTCGGAACCTTGAATCTAACATGAGGATAACGATAATACATTCTACACACCTGAGCACTCGTCAAACAGCGCTAGAAAGACCCTTGGCACGCAGTGCTCAGTCAATAGACGCAGCCAGCACTGCTCTCTTAATCAGCGCTGGTATAACTTTCTCTTCTAGCTTTTTCGATCGGTGTAACACTCACCCTCACTCAAGGCTACAAGAAGGATGTTTCACGAACCTTGGAAACTCCAGGACTTCAAACAGTGCCTGGACCACGGCAGCTGTTCCTTATAAGTAGTTATTCTACTACCCAAAAGAGGACGGAGTTTTTGTTTTAAATCATGAAATGCGTCAACTATAAAGAAACGCGCTGAAAGGAATATGAGGAGACTTCAGTAAATTCGTGGGAAAAACTGGAATTAAACAGTAAGTTTATTTTGGTCCAACAAATTTGAAATCCATACCTCACTTCGTCATGACATGACTCTCCATGAACTTTTGGAAGATTCCCTGTATAAAGGACCGAAAGTAGCCGAGACAAGTTTGCTGAAGGGCCGGGGGAACCCACTGTTGCAAATGTCAGGATTCATGAACTAGGAGTTTAAACAGTCATAGGCCAGTGAAAGAAAGGAGGGGACCCAGGAAGGCTATCTGAGGAAGTGCCGGAGGTGTGTGCTCGCTGGTGGGAGAGGGAGCTAGTCCATGGTGCCGGGACCACTGGCCTTCCACGTGGGAACAATGTAAAACGCGAGCTCAATCGCACGGGATTCACAAAATTGGATTCCGGACAGGATAAAGGCTGAAAGTGAGAGGCAGAATTTTAAAACTTTCTGGGGAAAGAAAGATGTTTCTGGGGTAAAATGTCTTTCAGGGCTGGCGCTGTGGCAGGGCCAGTGGGTAAGGCCTCCGCCTGAGGTGCCGCATCCCATCTGGGCGACGTTTGGAGTCCCGGCTGCTCCACTTCTGATCCGGCTCTCTGCTATGGCCTGTGAAAGCAGTAGAAGATGGCCCAAGTCTATGGGCTCTGCACCAGCATGGGAGACCTGGAAGAAGCTCCTGGCTCCTGGCTTCAGATCGGTGCAGCTCTGGCCATTGCAGCCATTTGGGGAGTGAACCAGAAGATGGAAGACCTTTCTCTCTCTCTCTCTCTCTCTCTCTCTCTTCCTCTTTGTAAATAAATAAATAATAAGTAAATCTTTTAAAAAATTTTCTTGCTCAAAACATAAAAGCATAGAGCTAAAAATCTGATAATATGAGGGTATTTCCAAGAAATTTGTTGAAAAATAAAATCAAAATATAAGTTGATTTTGGTGCAAAAAATTTGAAATCTATGTATCGTTTTTTTCATAATGTGCATTTTCCATGACTTTTTAGAGACCCTCTCATTCTTCCATAGGATTTTTACAATCAACTTGCCAAGAAAATCTGGTAGACTTTTTTAAAAAAAAAATTTGTTCATTTTTATTCGAAAGACAGAGTTACAGAGAGAGTGAGGGAGAGACAGAGAGAGCGAGCAGTCTGTCTGCTGGTTCACTCCCCCAGATGGTTGCAACCACTGGGGCTGGGCCAGGCTGAAGCCAGGAGCCAGGAACTACATTCAGGTTTCCCATGTGGGTGGCAGGGCCAAAGTACTTGGGCCATCCTCTGATGCTGCCCCAGGAAACTGGATCAGCCGTGGAACTGTCAGAACTTGAACCAGCACTCTGATCTGGGATGCGGGGGTTGCAGGAGGCAGCTTAACCCCCCGCCCCACAACACCGACCTCTGGCCAACATCTTGAATGTACTGAATCAGCACATTGACGGGAAAAACTGGCAACTTCATCAGGTTGGCTCCCCAAGTCCACTATAATGTGCCTCCGAGGGGCAACCGCCATTGGAACCCACTCCGCGCCTATGGGATGGGCTGGCTTGGCTCCCAGCAGTAGCTTCACCTCCCACTCTGCTGGATAAATGGTAAGAGTCTCTCACAGCCACAGGTCCGTGTAGCCCTGGTTCCAATTTGCAGGTCACAGGCCTTAGCTAACTGGGCAACAAAATCGAGGGGATGCCCAAAGGAAGGGCGCATCCTGCAGTCTACTTTCCTGTCTGAGGTTAGCTGGCTTACCTTCGGGGAATAGTCGCAATGGGTGTTTCTGCATGTGTGGTTTCCTCTCTCTGAGGGCAATCAGAAGAAACAGAAACAGTTCTCTGGCTTCAAGGTCCTGAGTCAAATGAGGGTGGGTTCCATCGTATCCAAAAGTCCGTCTGGCGATCTACTCCCCGGGTCTTCCTGTTTAAATGGACACAACTTCTGGTTGGTCCAACTGAGTCACAGAAAAGTCAATCAGCTCCTTCCGAAGAAGGAAATCATCAGGGATTGAGAGGAACGTTACATAAGGTTCAAGGCATCGATTCTCCAAGAAGACACAATCCGTAATATGTGTGCACCCAGCAACAGAGCCTCAAATGTGTAGGGGAAACAGTGATGGAAATACAAGAAGGAATAGACAAATCCACTACCCTAATCAGCTATTTCAGCACTCCTCACCCAGTAGACAATAAATCCAGCAGGCAGGACATGAGGAATGGTTTAATTGATCTGAACAGCACCATCCCCAGTTTGATCTAACTGACACAGACTGCTCCATCTAACAACACTAGAATACGTATTCTTCCCAAGCTCACATAGAAATTCACCAAGTAATCTACATTATAAAACAGAATCTAGGGGCCAGCACTGTGGCGTAGCAGGTAAAACCACTGCCTGCAATACTGGCACCCCATAGGGGCGCCAGTTTGAGTCACAGCTGCTCCACTTCTGATCCAGCTCTCTGCTATGGCCTGGGAAAGCAATAGAAGATGACCCAAGTCCTTGGGCCCTTGCACCCGTGTGGGAGACCCAGAGGAGGCTCCTGGCTCCTGGCTTCAGATCGGCCCAGCTCTGGCTGTTGCAGCCAACTGGGAAGTGAACCATCGGATGGAAGACCTCTCTCTCTCTTTCTCTGCCTCGCCTTCTCTTTGTATGTAACTCTGACTTTAAAATAAATATATCTTAAAAAAAATAAATAAGTAAAACAGAATCTAACAAAATTAAATGAACAGAAGTAATACAAAATAAGTTCCCAGACCACACAGTAAACAAGAAATTTATTAGTATGAGGAAACCTTCAAATATTTTAAGGTTAAACAGCATACTTCTAATTAACACGTGAGTCAAAGAAGTCTCAAAAGAAATGTTAAAATATTTTGAAAATGAAAAATATAATTTATCAAAATTATGGGATACACCAAAAGCAGTATTAAATGCAATAGTGTGCATATATTTATTAAATGAACATATTTAAAAAACAGAAGATCTAAAACCAATCACTTAATTTTCCATCTTGGGAAAGAAGAAAAAGAGTAAGCAGCAAGGGGCCAGTATGGTGGCGCAGTAGGTTAATCCTCCACCTGCTGCACCAGCATCCCATATGGGCGCCGGTTCTAGTCCCAGCTGCTCCTCTTCCCGTCCAGCTCTCTGCTGTGGCCTGGGATAGCAGTGGAGGATGGCCCAGGGCCCTGAGCCCCTGCACCCGCATGGTAGACCAGGAGGAAGCTCCTGGCTCCTGGCTTCGGATCGGCATAGCTCCGGCCGTTGTGGCCATTTGGGGAGTGAACCATCGGAAGGAAGACCTTTCTCTCAGTTTCTTTCTCACTGTAACTCTTCCTGTCAAATAAATAAATAAAATCTTAAAAAAAAAAAAGAGTAAGCAGCAGAAGAGAAATAATAAAAATCAGAACAGAAATTAACAGAAAGTTAAAACAGGAAAATAGAGAAAAATGAAGAAAACAAAAAGCTGGCTATTTGGCAAGATCACTACAATGAATAAACCTCTAGCCAAGCTAATCAAAGAGAAAAAAGGGAGCAGACACAAATTGCTGGTATCGGAGAGGAACCATGAGAGGAACCTCAGAACAGGCCAGGCGCCTGTGCAGAGCCGTGGGCCCTTCCTCCGTCTCCTGGGTCCCAAAGAAAGGCAAAGGCTTCCGGCTCCTCACACTCCCTTCCCTCTTGCCCAACCCAATTCCTTTCTCTGAAGGCCAAACATGAATCCTTCAATCCCAGGAAACTTGTGTCATCCCACTAGGCATCACTTTTTTCTATACTGCAGGCAAAATACCTAAAACTTCACCCAATAAACACACACATATACACACGCAAACAATACAACCCCTAAATCATATAAGCTCTAGCCTGCTGTGTGCCCAGACAGGAAAACAGCAGAAGGAGTTAGTCGGGGTGAACTTGAGGCATCTGTTGGAGGAGTTGGAGTTTGTTTGTTTGTTTGTTTTTTCCCAATAAGATGTTTGCCTTAGAAGTAATAGAAACATAACCCCTAAAAGGTAAGAGCTAGAAGAGATTAACCGAATTAAAAGGTAGCAAACAGAAGCACAAAAGGACAGAACAGAGCACACACATACACAGAAGAAAACCAGCACCTGTCAGAGCGAGGTGGGGCAGGGAAGCCAAACACAACCAAAACAAAGGGAAAATGTAGGGGGAGGAGGGAGGAAGGGACCATCATTATGTGATTAGAATTGTGTCTACAAAGCACATTGAGTCTGTTAAGGACTAATTAAAAATTTAAAATTCAGCCCAATTCTTGCATCTCTCAAAATAAGACTGATCGACTTCTCACAAAACTCTGTGAGCTGCCAACCATGCACATTTGACAAATCCTGAAAAGGCCAATCCTTAAAATGGCTTGAAAGGCCATTTCTTTCTGAAAATCCAGACCAAGAAAATAATTCAAAATGCATAAAAGATGTATGTGCCAATGTTTCTTTGCGTGCCTTCCAAACAGACACGTGGTTTTTACACTTTGTAGTATCACTGTAAACTATCTCTGGGTTCGGTGTTTGATCTAGAGGCTACGTTGTCATTTGGGACACCTGCATCCCATGTCAGAGTGCCCCGGTTTGAATTCAGGGTGGGGCTCCCCATTCCAGCTTCCTGCTGAGGCACACCCTGGGAGGCTCAGGCATCTGAGTCCCTGCCCCCTCCCTGGGACACCAGCGGGTGTCCCCAGCTCCTGGCTGTTGCAGACATTTCAGGAGGAAACCAGCAGACGAGAGATCCTTATCTCTTCCTCCATCTCTGTCTGTGTCTCTGCCTTTTAAATAAGTAAGATAATGAATACAATTTTTTTAAAAATCGAGTGCACAAACTGTTAGATACATAAAGAGGAAACCGTAAACCCACAAACGAATCTGGGAAATTTACAGCTCTTTTGGAAATTAATAGACCAAGTGGATAAAAATAAAGAATATGGTCAATATGGGTAAGATATTTGAATGAAGCTTGTCCTAATACCCAGAATTTCATACTCAATCCCTCATACAAAATTGTACCTAAAGCTAAGTACATTAATCAATCACCTATCAAAATCTCCAATTCCAAAAAGCATAAAAGCAGCCTCATCCTTAGACTACAGTGATAAAATTACAAACCAAAGAAGGGGCAGGGGAATCTATCCACAGGAGAAATTGTAAACAGCTTTTAAGAACTCTTAGGTTGCCTAAGAAATAAAAATGGAAATCACATGCCCATTTAGAAATCGTTGTATCACAGTGAAAAAGCAGACGTGAACTGAATGTCTAACGCACTGGACAAAATATGAATGGGATACTTGTTCAGATATCAGGCAAGACTGAGGAAGATGTGCTGAGACTGCTGAAATATGAGATCAGAACTGTAAAAGTAGGAAGGAAATCTGCTTTATATTAAATAGGAAAATGATGGATTCACATACAGGTATGATATATAGATACAGATAATGTATAGGGTCAGCGCAATAACAAAATACAAACTAAATATACCAAAACGTTAAATGATCCGACTTATCTATAGTGGCCCTAGGAGACAATTTTTTTCCTTTTCTATTTTCCAAAATATGATTAACTTTAAAAAGAAGGCAAAACTTTTTTTAAGGTAACTATTAATTGTCTACAGACGAGGCAGAGAGGGATTGTGGGGGTTTGCTAAAACATTACAAAATCAGTGCAGGGCCCGGCCGAACGAACTCTGTGGATAAACCAAGAGGAGCTCAGAGGGACTGGGCTCGGGGACACTCCCCGGCGGGGCTCCGAGGCGTCCCCCGTCCCCTGCGCCCGGGACCCTCCTCTGCACGGAGACCTTCGCGCCCCCGAGCCCGGAGCTCACCTCATCCTCCTCCTGGCCGAGGGCGCGCTGGCGCGGCTGCAGCGAGCGAGGGACCCCGGCCCGCTTGGCCCCTAAGCGCCTCTGCGGAGCCGTCGGGGTGCGGGAGTGGCCGTCCGCTGCCCGCTCAGCCCCGGGCGCTCGGGACCAGCTAGCACCAGCCAGCACCCACACCCCAGCCCTTTGTCGTTTTTGACAAGGGCGGGAAAGAAGGTTGGGCGAGCTCCTAGCCTGACCCGAACCAGAGACGCTTTCAGATTGCGGGGAGCGGCGGGGATGCGGGGCACCGCTCCGACGTCTGCATCGGAGCCCGGACGACCGACGCGGGCGTGGTCTCCCCGGTTGACAAGGAGCGCTGCGGCAGGTCACCGGGGTCTCCCCCAACCGGGCCAGAAATTCCATCGCGGACCAGCCGAGGGCTCCTTCGCACAACCTGACACCGCCACCCCGGAATCACCTCTGTCGCCCCAGAAAGAGGGACCCTCAGGGGCCTGCCACGGGCCGGGGAGCTGACGGTGGCGGGGATGGGGTCGGGGGAAGGGCGAGGGCTGCAGGAGACGCGCGACCATGAAGGCGGCAGGCGGGAACGCGCACCTGCTGCCAGTCGCCGGATTCTGGCTCCGTGGCCTGTCCAGGATGCGTGGACATCGCCCCCTGCAGGACTGAACTGGGCACTTCACGAGACGCAGGCTATGGGCACCGCACTGCGCCTGGGCGGCTCCGGCCCAGGGTCCGCCAACGCCCTGCCTCCGACCCCCCGCCCCACCTCCCCCGCCACCGCGCCTCCGTTTCCTCCTCGGTAAAATAACTGTGTTGGGCCAAGACGTTTTCTGAGCCCACTTCTAACTCCGTGTTCCAGATCCTTCTCGCCTTCCCTGCCTACCGCCCCCCCCAAGGGATGTTAGGCAGCCCCCTCCACTCCCCAACCTACTCGGAACCCCGGGTGTCTGAACTGTGTCCCACCAGGCCCGGACCTGCCTGGTGGCCGCTATTTCCCAGGGTGACAGTGGGATGCGCTCGGGGGCTTGCTGTGAACAGAAAAGTGAATGGGGTGGGGGACAGCAGAGGGGGGAGTCCAGGCCCGCGGTCACCGAGGTGGATACCTGGGACCCTTGCCAGGGCTGGCCCAGAGAGCTGTGCAGGAGGGGCTGCGCTGCGGTGGGCGGCCGTGCCTGGATCCGCCTGCTGTCCGCCTGGCCTGTGTCCTACTCCTGACTGCCCAGCTCCTGCTGCAGCCACACTGCCCCCAGGCCCCTTCGTGGCTGTTTCAGGCACAGTGGGCTCCAGGCGCCCTGATCTACCCCCCACCCCCACCCCGCGCCCCTGCACTTCTCTGTCTCTTCTCAGGGTGGAGCCCTGGGCTGTGCTCCCCACACCCTGGCGCCTCCAGCGTGGCCTTCGTGTAGTACGCTTTCCGTCCCCATTGCCACAAGCTGCTGGGACCTGCAGAACAGGTGAGCAGCAGGCTCGGATGCGGAGCATCCACTGGAAACCCCAGCCACGCCGAGCTCCAGGTGGCTCCGCGCCACTGCACAGGGCGCACCTGCACCGGGAAGCACCCCTCTCTGCCCTCGCACTGAAAGACCGACTCTGGGGCACAGGGCAGATCCGCTGTCTGGCTCTGCCTCTGAGCGGGAGCAGGAACCTTCCAGAGGAACCACTGACCTCCGTGACTGAGGCGTGGCAGGAGCAGTCCTTCCTGTCTTCCTGACAAACAGGGACGTTTTCCAAGAAGTCCACCGCCTTCCACCCCCGCGGAAAGAGAAGGGGGCAAGAGGCAGGAACGGCGAACGCAGGGAGGAAAGCGTGGAGAGCCTGATGGCCACTTTCCTGGCCAAGACCGGCCATGTCCGCCTTCCTCTCTCTGGTGCCCCCGCCCTCCCACCTCCTCCTCTTCCCAGAGAAGCAAAGTCCTGCCCCGCACAGCTGCAGAAGGAGCCCCCGCGCCCTAGGCCCCGGTGGGTAGCGGGGAAGCAGTAGGCCTCCCCTGGCACAATTTCCACCGCGGCAGCCTCCAGCCTCTGCCTGGCCCCGCCGCGAGGGAAGAGAGGGGCTCAGGTCCCCGCGGAAAGTCGTGAGCCAGGTCACCATGGGAGGGCGACGCTTTGTGACCCAGGGCAGGTGACTTGGTACATCCTCCCCAGTGGAGAATTAACCATCTTGTGTAAAAAAAGAAAACTTTCCACTGACTTTTTTAAAGTTTCTATTTTGGGTAAACCAGAGATAAATTCTGGCCCCCCACACACACACACACACAATGGCTGGAGGGAGGGGGAGGAGGGAGGGAGGGAGGGAGGGAGGGAGGGAGCCGAGGCTTCAGTTTCTTCAGCTGCACATTGATTTCTACCAGAGCCTTAACTGGCAGGACTCAGCCAGCCTTCAAACACACCACACTTGGCTCCCAGGGAACATGGACAAGGATGTTCGCTGCAGTGTGTGTATAACAGCAAAAATCAGAAACAACCCAAGTTCCATTAACAGAAGACCCAATAAACCCCGGCAGTCATCAAACCCCACGGCTCCTGTGTTCCTCCTAAAATAGCAAAGACCATGCACTAAAGGTTATTGATTTTTATTTATTTGAAAGGCAACAAGAGACACACAGACAGAGGTCTTCCATGTGCTGATTCACTCCCCAAATCCCCACAACAGCCAGCCTAGGGCCAGGCTGAAGCCAAGAGCCAGGGACTCCATTCAGTTCTCCCAAGTGGCTGGCAAGGACCCAAGTACTGTTTCCCAGGGTGAGCGCTGGCAGGAAGCTGGCTTTGAAGTGGGATGGCACTCAAGCCCTGGCCCTCTGGTAGAGAGTGCGGCCATCCCAGTGGCTTCACCCATGCCCAGCAGCGCCCAGACCAGCCTTCCTGCATTTCTTCAAAGTTGTTTTTCACTGTGGTAAGTATCCAGTTGAGTGGCCCTGAAGACATCCACACGCCTCTGTAACCAGCACTACCCTCCGTTTCCAGATCTTTCATCTTGCAAAACTGAAACTCTACCCTCACACGATAACTCCCCATTCCCCAGCCCCTCCCCTCCCAAAAGAACCATTCTGCCTCCGTCTCTGTGCTTCTGACTACCGCCAGCGCCTCCCACGAGTGGGAGCACACAGGATTTGTCGTGCTGTGACTCTCAGCACCGTGTCCTCCAGGCTCCCCCACGTCACAGCAGGTGTCGGGATTTCCTTCCTTTTTCCTTTTGTCGGTGGCCACTCAGTTGCTTTTGTGTTTTAGCTACTTTTAAAAAATATTTTATTAATTTATTTGAGAGGCAGAGTTACAGACAGTGAGAGAGACAGAGACAGAGAGAGAGGTCTTCCATCCGTTGGTTCACTCCCCAGATGGCTGCCATGGCCGGCGCTGCGCCGGTCCAAAGCCAGGAGCCAGGAGCCAGGAGCCAGGAGCCTCTTCTGGGTCTCCCGTGTTTGTGAACGATGCTGCTCTGAACCGGGTACGCTCCTTCACTCATTTCTGCCTTAGCTGCCAGTCTTCATCCTTGTAAATGATACAATTTCCAATTTAAATATTGGGATTTTTTTTCCTAAAATGTCTGTTTTCTTCTATTTAAAAAGCAAACTGATAGAGAGAGAAAGAGAGAGAGAGAGAGAGGTCTTCCATCCACTGGTTTGTTCTCCAAATAGCCGTAACAGGCAGGTTTAGGTCAGGCAGAAGCCAGGAACCAGGAACTCCATCCAGGTCTCGCACGTGGACGGCAGGGGCCCCAGCGCTTGAGTCATCATCTGCTGCTCCCCAGGTGCTTCAGCAGGAAGCTGGATTGGAAGCAGAGGAGCCGGAACTTGAACCAGGACTCCATTATGGGATGCAGGTTTCCCAAGTGATGGCTTAACCTGATGCACCATAAAACCCACCCTTCAATATTGATTTTTAAAAATAAAACCATTACATCACCCTTTTGAATTGCTTCTAACAAACTATCATTAATACATCCATTTTATTTCAACCACACCCATTTTTAAAATAGAAGGACAAATTCCTTCCTCTACTGGTTTCCTACCCAAATGGCAGCAACAGTCAAGACTTGGTCTGGCGGAAGCCAGCAGACCGGAACCCTCTCCAGGCCTCCCACATTGGTGACAGTGGCCCAAACACTTGGGTTACCATCTGCTGCCTTCTCTCTCTAGTAGGAAGCTGGACCCACAGTGGAGAAACCAGGATGCAAAGGACTCTGTGATACGGGATGCTGACCCCAAGACAAATTCTTTAACTCCTGGAAATTTTATGTTACTCTTTTTATCTTCTTAAACTTCTAAGTTGTACCCCATCTTCTCCACAGAAGTTTATTTTAATGTGATATGTCCATATGCTTGAGGATTTTTTAATCAATCAATATATCATACTTGTTTTGCCCTAAAAAGCATATAAATTGAAATTTTAATTTCCTATGGTTATAAATTCTAAGTATGACAAGCAAATTTAGATTATGCAAACGTTGCAACCATTAGCACTGCACAAGTGCTCAAAATAACACACATTTTAAATTGTAAAAATTAATTATTAAACACAAAAAATAACCCATGGTGATACTGTGTTATAGGTATGTAAGATGCTATCCTTGGGAGAAACTAGATGCAGGGTAGAAGATGTCTCTGTTATTTCTTATAACTTCAGGTTAATTTGCAAGGATTTCAAAATAAAAAGTTTTATTAAAAAGTCATTTTGGGGAGAAATGCGGCTCTTACTGAAATGAATAAGGTCCAATTTATTAATGAGCCCCTAGGATAATACTAATTATTGCTAGAATGAGATGGAGTTTGCGTCAATCTGCCTCTTTCTGTTTACTTGTCATACAATGCGACGCACCGAGAACTCCTGTCCTTCTGTCACAGCACAGCAGAGCCACTGACCTTTTAACTTTTTCCGATATTGTTTGGCAAAAGGAAAGAGAACAAACACAACAGCGATCTATCACCAGGAGCTGCTGCGTGTACCTGCAGAGGCCGCTGGAACCAAGCACCAGAAGCCAGGAACTTACATAACAGCAGTGTGCTGTCTCAGGGTTCTGGAAGCCAGAAGAACAAGATGAAGGGGTAGAGGCTGCATCTGGTCCTCTGGGCGCTCTGAGGAAGAGCCTCTGCCTCTGGCCTCGCTTCTGGCGGGCTGTTGCCAGTGGCTGGCATCTCCTGGCCTGTGGAAGCACCACGGCTGTGTCTGGCTTTCTCACCAGGCAGGGTTCCGCCTGTGTGTGTCCGGGTCCAGATTCACCTGTTGGTAGGGACAAAGTCATGATGAGTTCTGACCCACCCTTCTTTGAACTTGCTTGTTTCTGTAAAGATCTTATTTCCAAATAAGGTGACAGAAGTCTGAGGTGCTGGGGTGTAGGACTTCAGCAAATTCAACCCCCAACAGTTGCCAACTGAAACAGGTCTTTCAATTTCATTGAAAGCAAAAACTTGGGCACCACTGACCTCAACGTGGGCTTGTTACCCTCTGTAGAGTTACTTCCTCAGTTTCCGGAGTCTCACTAGACAAGGCTTTGCCAAAAGCCTACCAGGCAGCTATCATGTAAAAGCAGCTGCCTAAACTGATAAACTCAGAAAGGGTCACCGGGGTAGAAATAGTTTTCATGTAATTTCAATACAAGGAATGTGCATAAAATGTTTCCATCTTACCATAGGGTTTGATCTTTATTTGCATCAAAACTTTGCAGCTCAAGATTTCACTCATACAGTTGTTGAAAAATAAAAGTGCCCCCACAACCTCAGGGGTAAAACTGGTCTTCCAGATCAACCCGATCAGCAAATCACACTTACCTCCTCTTTTAACAAAGTCTGGTTCCTTTTGGAATCCTAATGGCTGGAAAGCACCTGCCACCAGCATTTCTCCCAGATGCCTCTTTGCCTGAATCCTGGGGCCCCTCCTCAGGAGAAATGTACCCTTTGGCAATTCCTAAGAGACAGATGTTGATGTTAAATGAAAAATATTAGGATTTATCCTTTTGAATTATCCTCCAATCAAAACCCAAACTCAAAGAAGGCTTTTCACCTCCAGGGCATTGAGCCATAGTAAGGTACAAGAAGGGAATAGAAGAGTTTGCCTTTTATTTATTTTTTTTTTTCCTTTTATCTGAGAGACAGAACAGACAGACAGAGCTGGCAGCCTCTGGTTCACTCTCCAAATGCCTGCAATGGTTTGAGCCAGGCTGGAGCTAGAGCCTGGAGCTAGGAATTACATCCAAGTCTCCCAGGTGGGTGGAAGGAACCCGATTACTTGAGGCATCCCCACTGCCTCTCAGGGTCTGCATTGACAGAAAGCTGGAATCAGGAGCCAGGAGTCCAGTGCAAGCACGCTGATGTGGACGATGGTGTCTCAACCCCCAGGCCAAATGCTCACTTCTGCCTTTCTGTTTTAAAGTGGGAAAAGAAGCATCACCAAAGGGGTACAACAAAGAGAACCACAGGAAACACAGGCACTTGCTCTGTGGCAGCTCTATCTTAGGAAAAGGACCCGGGGAACTGAGGATAGGGAAAACAATTCTCTTAAAGTCACACATTATCCCTGAGGACAGTATCTGTGTACCTTCTAGGGTATGAGCGAGCGCTCTGGTTTGAGAACCACAAAGTCGCGGTTACACTGCTGCACAGCATTGAAAATAAACCTAGATGCATTATCAGAGCTCAGACTCAAAGACATGCAGTATCATGGCCTCTTGTACATCAAAACACAAAGTATTATATGACATTAATACATATGAGGATATTTTGAAGGGTTTGGGGGAAATGGACTCAAAAGTTAAGTTTGTTTTGGTGCAAAATATTTTTGAAAGCCATGCATAGGAGGAGGGTCTTCAAAAAGTTCACGGAAGGGGCCAGCGTTGTGGCGTAGCGGGCAAAGCCAATACCAGCATTTCATTTGGGCACAGTTTGTATTCCAGCTACTCCACTTCCAATTCAGCTCCTTGCCAATGGCCTGGGAAAAGCAACGGTAAATAGCCCAAGTACTTGGGCACCTGCTACCCACATGGGAGACCTGGAAGAAGCTCCTGGCTCCTGGCTTCAAACTGGCCCAGCCCCAGCCATTGCAGCCATCTGGGAAGCAAATGAGCTGATGGAAGATCTCTCTCTCTCTCTCTGTGTCTCTATCTCTCTCTAACTCTGACTTTTAAATAAATAAATCTGTTTTTTAAAAAACAGTTCATGGACAGTATGTATGATGAAAACACTAGGCATGGATTTCAATTTTTTCACCAAAACAAACTTATCTTTTAATTCCATTTTCTCCAAACTTTTTGAGATTCCACCTAACACATATAAAGTATTAAAACAGAGAAGGGTACGCTGAAGGGAATGATAGAAAAAGATGTGTCATGCAAACAGAGAAGAAATATGAGGAAGTAATCTGAATATTAAAGTAGACTACAAAATTAAATATCGGGGCTGGCTCTGTGGTGCAGTGGGTTAACACCCTAGCCTGAAGCGCCAGCATCCCATACAGGCACGGGTATGAGATCCGGCAGCTCTACTTCTGATCCAGCTCTCTGCTATGGCCTGGGAAAGCAGAAGATGGCCCAAGTCCTTGGGATCCTGCACTTACATGGGCGACCTGGAAGAAGCTCCTGGTTCCTGGCTTGAGATCAGCGCAGCTCTGGCCATTGTGGCCAATTGGAGAGCGGATGGAAGACCTCTCTTTCTTTCTTGCTCTCTCTGCCTCTCCTCTCTCTGTGTAACTCTGACTTTCAAATAAATAAAATAATCTTCAAAAAAATTAAATATCATCAGAGACAAAGAAGGACATGTCATAATGGCTGAAGAGCCAGTTCATCCAGAAGACAGAACAATCCTGTGTGTGAGGCTAACAGCAAAGCTTCTATATATATGAGGCCAAAATCGCATGGGATAAAAGGGAGAAACAGACAAATCTGCAATCCTAGTTGGAAATTTAATGTCCTTCACTTGACGTTGACAAACCCCCAAATTTTGCTTCTCGCAAGGAGGCAGGGGTGGGACTTGGGACGTTGCATCTTTAATGTCCATTTGGATCTATGACAAAATGCTAACACTGTAGGCAGCCTTTGGACAAATCAAGGCCAATGTTGGCTTGTGGAGTTCTTGGGATAAGAAAGTCACATACTCCCATCCTGAAGGAGGATGTTAATCAAGAACACTCTGTTAAAATTATCTGTGTTACCAGAGGTCCAGATAAGTTGCTTACGTATGTAGTTATCTTTTGTGCTGCTTTGTTTTGCAGCTGGTTATGGATAAATACTGCTGGGACTTTAGAATAAATGAGCCTTGATCAGCCTTGTTGTCTTGGCTCCATTCTTTGCAATCGCTTGTCTCTCTTTTAGGTCCCTCTCCCTCCCTTAGGTTCTGTTCGACTGGCGCGGCTGGCCCACACATAACGCAACATTAGGAGCGGGTCCAAGGGTGTTTTATATAATTTGTTATGCGTTTCTTGGTTCAAATGTTTTAAAACATTAAAAAGAGCATATAGCTGAGACATTTAGAGTAGGGAGCAAGGAAGGAGGTCCAGAAGCCAGCATCATTTCGCCCAACACGATCCTCCACACGTCCCCACCCACGCTCCCTACGCTCTCTACTGGAGTCCTCCTCATCTTAGCATCAGCAGCTGACACGTAAGGCAGTGAGTGTCCTTGAGTGGGCCGGAGCCGATGCGGGCACGGATACACAGTCCTCCTGCCTCAGGCTTGTGCTCCCACATCCAGGCCCCCTCGCAGTTCCAACCTGCAGCACTGCTTCCCCCGTGAGGTTTCTGCACCTTCTCAGGCTCCCTGCTGAATTCCCTACGTGACCTGATTCAGAGCCTCCCCTGTTCCTCTCTCCCTGCCACCTCCCTTGGTAGCGATTCCACTCCCACAGCTACTTTCTCACCTCCTCCCCAAGGTTGCGTCCGCAGCCCTGGCTGCTCCACAGAACTCAAATCCCAGTTCTCCTGCTGCCTTTGGGACACTTTGGTTTCAATGTTCTTGAGATGAAAGATCTGCATCAATCTGACCCAACTTCACAGCAAGCACACGCCAGCAGTGGGCTAGGGGGATGACACAGTCATTGCCAACACAAAGTCCGACCAAACCATGTGGGCTCTTCTCCCTCACGGCTCAGCCTCTTACTCCCTCTCTTATTCTCCTCTTTCAAAAATCCTATTACCTATTTCCAGTGCTAATTCACTTTAATTTCACTTTCATGCCCTGTCTTTATCTCCCTGCATTGAATTCTCTGTGAATTCTTCAATGCTAGCTTCCGATTCACTAATTATTCCTTCAACTGTGTCCAACACACAGCTTTTATAGAGAGCACTCATTTCCCGCATGCTCAGTATTCATCATCTTCAACTGTTCTTATTTAACTTTTTCATTTTCCGCACATCCTGGTCCTTTTGTTAAAATCTCTTTTCATATGTTCTATTTTTTACATCTCTTTGGGAGTAGAATCACATTCTCATTGTTGAGTCTTTCTTATATGTACTTTGAATTTTGAGTGTGTACACAGGGTCATCTTGAACACTAGTTATTTATTTTTTTTACATTTTATTTGAAAGGCAGAAACACATAGAGACAGAAACAGGGAGGGAGGGAATGGGGGGAGAGAGGAAGAAAGAGAGAGAGAGAGAGAGAGAGAGAGAGAGAGAGAGATGCTTCATTTACTGGTTCACTCCCCACATGACGCAGCAGCTATAACTGGGCTAGCCAAAAGCCAGGAGCCCTGGACTCAACCTGGATCTGCACATGTGGGTTGCAGAGACCTAAATACTCAAGCCATCATCCTCTGCTTCCCAGTGTGCACATCAGCAGGATACTGGAATCAGAAGTGGAGCCAAGACTCAAATCCAGGCATTCCAACATGGGGTGTGGGCACCCCCAGAATCATCTTAGCCACTGTACAAAATACCCTCCTCTTTTAAAATAAAAGTGGGGGGAGGTGTAAAAGAATCTCTTCCTCCCTTCACTTTCACTCTTCCTGGGGTTTTGGTCGCCTCTGCTTTTCCAGGCCTTGTCTAAGGGTTCTGGACTCCAGTCTTTCAACCAAGAGAAATCCAGATCCAAGGCCCTGTTTCCAGCAGAGAGCCTGGCTCCAGCTTCCCTCTGTCAGTAAAGCACTTTGGTACCTCATCAGCTGAGTCACATCTTTGGTACTTCTGCTTCAAGAATGGGTCCTTGAGACCCAACCCCAGCAAGGTTGCTCAAAAGCAGACCCCAGGAAGCCAGCCCCTCATTCCAGCATGGCCCCAGCCTACACCCATGAACGTCTATCTTGCTTCTGAGTGCATCTGTCTTTCCCTCTCCCACCTTATCCTTGTTTATTCTTAGTGGTGCTATTAATGCACCAGCACTGTCTTGACAAGAAATTGCCTCATTCTAATCCACATCTCTCCTAATTCTCATCTTCAAACTCAACTGTTGTAAACCTTTTTCTAACCACTCTTGCCTGAAATGAACTCTGTCTCCTCTGGTCTCCATCCTTACTTCTGCCTTCTCTTAGCTTTTGCTTCTTGAAGGGACAAAGGTGTGTGAGTCAAGGAGGAAACCATTGCCCAGGAATACCTGAGGCCAGGTGATACGGAGAAGAATGTGGTCTACGCTGCTGGGGTTAGGAGCCACACCCCACAGGGAGAAGATGTTTGAGTGGCTCTTGGGGAAAAAGTGTTTGCGAGGTAGACAGCTATGGGCATTCCGGGCCGAGGGAACAGCCTCCGAGGTGAACAGCAGGAGGGCCCCTTTGGGAAATGGGGAGACCCTGAGCTTAGGAGGAGTGAGGAAGCTGAGCAGGACAGAGGATGGGGGAGGATGTAGATGGTGCTGTGGGGCCAAGGGCACGGGGCTTCCCCGGTGACTTTGGGAAACACCTGACCTTCTCACAGAGGCTGGGCCAGGCCCTTGTGGGTTGAAGCAGGGGTTGGTGTGACAAGCTTTTCACTGGAAGACACTTAAGTAGAGGTGGTGTGACCAGTGAGGAGAGCCCTGCCAAAGTCCAGACAGGACATGACAGCGCCTAGATGAACCTGGGGGTCCCAGGGAAGTAAGGTTGGCAGCAAAGAGGTAGAACTGCAATGGAGATAAAGCAAGGTGGCCTCTCTAGCCCCAGACAAGTTAGCAGCACCCAGTGAGACCAGTAACACCACCATAGACCTGAGTTGGCCAGGGACCCCGCAAGAACCTCATGGCCATGCTTCCAGGCCGTCCCTGTAGTCTGTCTCTCAGCAGCTGAAACTCAGAGTCCTGATGAGTCTCTCACCACTGGGCCATTTTGAATGTCTTCAGTGTGATCAACTACAATGGTTTCAGTCCACGTTCTAAGGACAAACACTTGGAGAAAAACAAAATCTGTTTTAATTCAGCACAGAAACTGTTTGCTCTCTGACACTTTCTCTCTCCAGGTATTTTTTAAGCTGAGGGCTTGCTTGATGAAGTGCGGTCATCCAGATTTCTTCCCACCACCCCATGTGGGTGCCGCCGTGCAGGGCAGGGGAGCTCACCTGGCTGTGATGGGCAAGCCTCACCCAGCCCTCTGCACACCTGGTCCCCAGAGAGCAAGCATCTCCGGAGCGTGCTGCAGGCGCATCTGCTCCCCTCTGCTGCAGGGCGGATGTCGCTGTGGTTACATTGAAAATCCACTGGGTTCTGTGAAAAATATCATTGGGGTCACAAAGCCTCCCTGGTGGGTTTGACATTGTTGGCTTGGTACACCCCACCCCAGCCCCCATGGTGCACTGTACAAAGGGGCTGCTACCCCCATGGCTGATGCTTTTCTCTGCTGCAAGGCTGGAAGGCCCCCGAGCCAGCTACAGCTCATTTCCGGGGTGCTGAGATAGGTCTATACTATTTCCAGGCAGTCCACCCCCAAATCCAGCCATCTTTATACTCAGGGGCTCAGTTCCCAAGATCCAAATATGTAAATGTTGGCTCTGGCCCCTTTCAAAGCTTCCTCTGAAGCCAGACAAGGCATACCTCTTTAGCATTGTTTCTGTTTGCTTCTTTTTAATATTCACTTATTTGAAAGGCAGTTATGGGGGTGGGGGTGGAGATCTTCTTCCCTCTGCTGTTGATTCATTCCCCAGATGGCTGTGATGGTCGGGGCTTGGCGAAGCCGAAGCTGAATATAGGAACCTGGGACTCAGTCCAGGTCTCGCCATGTGGGTGTCAGTGGACCAAGTGGGCCATCTTTCCCTGCCTTTCCAGGTGCATTAGCAGGGAGCTGGATCGGAAGTGGAGCAGCCAGGACATGAACCAGTGCTCACATGAGATGCCAGTATTATAGATGGCGATTGAACTTGGTGTACGACAATGCAGGCCCCACCTCTTTAGCATCCTTCAGATTGTATACTTTGGCCAACAGGCCATTAGAAGCCACCAAGCAAAATGGGAACCCGTCGTTTGCTGAGTCAGTGTCCTCTCTGAACTTTGCTATGTCCTTGTCTCTGCCGTTCATATGAGTTAAGAAACAGCAGTGTATCTACAAAACCAGGGACACACACACACACACGCACACGCACGCATATATCTGTATGTTAGTCATAGCCATCGCTGCAAAGGTTTTTGCCCTTCTAACTCCCTCATCCTCCATTTGAAAATGCTCCACGTTCAGGTGCGAGCCCTTGGTGCCACAGGTGCACTACAGCTACCACAGCCTTGCTGGCAATCGCAAGAAATGAGAAGCTGCTGAAATGCCCGTTAGTAAGAGAGCACCCATCTAAATACACTCATTTGAAAAAATGTGCACATCTGCAGACATGAAAAGATTTCTTGCTTCTACTGTTAAACAAGAAATATGTTACAAAATGTATATACGGAGTACAATGTCCTGTGTTTCAAAACATCTGTTTGTGCGCAGATACTATCTGAGGGACACACTCAGCTGCAGCACTGGTTTTCTCCAGAGTGGAGAACAGTGAGACTTGAGACAGAGGATTTCTCTGCATTCATTTTCAAGAACATACGACTTTCATAACTGAAAAGAACACTTTTGCAAACATTTCTAAATGTTAACTGTTCCATGTTAGCATAAGCATCTTGGGGGCATTGAAATTTAAGTAAATTTTCTAAGTCTACCCAATGCTTGTTTGGACCCCAAGAGAGGCAGGCAGCTCAGTGAGCATAGCACAGCCCATGCTGTGCTGTGACATCAGGGGTTGCAGAACACACCATGAAGTTTGGGACATGGCCCTCACCTGGCACTACTCCAGGGGAGTCAGTTCAAGTCCCGGCTGCTCCACTTCCCATCCAGCTCCCTGCTAACACACTGGGAAAGTGGTGGAAGATGGCCCAAGTCCTTGGGCCCCTGTACCCATGTGAAAGACCCAGCTCCTGGCTCCTGGCTCCGGCCGGGCTCAGTCCTGGCCATTGCAGCCATCTGGGAAGTGAACCAGCAGACTGAACTCTGCCTTTCAAATACACAATTAAAAAGGAAGTGCAGGTGACTTGGCTCTCAGTGAAGCGGCAGCGACTCAAGGGGCACCCACTGTGGGATTCAAAGGAGGAAGTTCAGGAAGCCCTGAAGGAACAGGAGGGCACATCTCCGAAGCTGGATAGCATCAAGTAAAAGAGAAGGGGGGCATAGGAGGGATCTTCACAAAGCCCATGGAATGTTCCCATTATCCTTTAGTTCGACTTTTCAGGAATTATCTGAGGCCCCTACATACGTGTGCCAGGGAAAACTGCCTCCAGGCTCCTTGTGGAGCGCACGGAGCCAGGAAAGGAAGAAAGGAGAACCCAAGCTAGCCCCAGGGGTGAAACACAATGCCGTTCCTGGCACAGGGAACAGCAAACGCGAGGGCTTGAAAGCACGGAGGAGCAGAGTTTGGGTAACTTCAAGTCTGCGAGGCTACTGCTGCAGGTGCATGGGAGACGCAGAGGCAGGGGCCTGGGGCAGAGCTGGGGTGGGGGTGGGGAGGTGGCACAGAACACAAGGCTGGAAAAGCCAGGCAGGGAGTTGAGCTCTGCCCAGCAGTGCAGGTGGTAGTAAGCTACAGAATGCTGTGGCGGCCAGATCCCTTGGAGGAGAATAATTTTCCTGGCGGGGTGACGGGAGGACTGCACAGGAGAGAGGCTGATGTGGAGGCTGCTGCCCGCTGGGTGAGGGTAAGGCTGGGAAAAAGCCCTGGCTGTGGTCAGCAGAGGACGGCCAGCCTGCACAGGGCTTTGGCTGCCTGTGGACTCCGCGGAGGCCTGGGGGGGGGGGGCAGGTTGCCCTGACCCAGCTCTGGAAGTGGGGAGAACCCCACCTCTTCTTCTCAGTCCTCAGTGCCCACTGGGCAGACAAAATGGAGAGGGCCCAAGGGAAACAAGAGTGAGTGCCAAGGGGGTGGATGCTGCTCTCCCTGCGGCTGCCCTGGCCCTGGCTTCCTGAAATCCTTTCTCTCTCTTTATCCTCTGTGTCTGTCACTCCCACCAGAGAGCCGCTTCCAGGGGACACCCGGTCCTCATCCCCAATCCTGCAGTTTTCAATCCTACCCCGCTGCTCCCTCGACGGTTCTCGGTTCCCAGCCCCCTCCCCGCGCTGGAAGGTGACAACCACGAAAAGGAGGGTGACTCTCTCCTCGGCCGGGGCTTCAGGTGACATCACATCCTCCAAATGCGAAATCGGGTCTGCGGCCGGCCCAGGGGCTCAGCTCCACGTCTAGGTGCCGAGCGTCCTCCCGCGCGCCTGCTCTCCCGTCGGAGCCTGCCGCTGAGCCGTGTCCTGCCAAGCGCGCCATGGCCTCGTCGGCGACAGCCCTGCTCCTGCCGCTGACCCTGCTGCTGCGTGAGTCTGAGACCCCCGGGGAGGCAGAGGTGGGAGGAGGGGCGCGGGCCTCAGCCTAGCCCCTGCCTCCCGCAGACTTCGCCGCGGCCTTCGGGCAGAGCCAGATCCGGATGAAGCCAAAGGAGGTGACGGCGATCCTAGACAAACCTGTGACGCTGATCTGCGAAGTGCTGCTGTCTGACTTGGGGGATAGCTGCTCCTGGGTGTTCCAGCGGAGCGCCGCGGCCAGCCCCACCTTCCTGCTGTACCTCAGCAAAACACGCAACCAGGTGGACTCTCCGCTCAACTCGGGCAAGCGCGTCCAGGAAAAAGTCTTCAGCCTCACCCTGCACCATTTCCGCGAGGAGGACCAGGGCTACTACTTCTGCGTGGTCGTGGGCTCCCTCAGCCTACACTTCAGCCCCTCTGTGCCCGTCTTCCTGCCAGGTCTGGCGCGGGGCGCCGCACCTCTTCACCCGGGGTTGGGGGGGCACTCCTCTGAACCCGTCTTTCCTAGTGAACGCCCCTGGGTGCTTAGAAATCGCCCCCATTTCGCAGCCAGGAAAACGGAGGCTAAGGCGCGGTTGGGCAGGGACTGCAGATGGCTTTTCCTGTCGGGCCGACTAGGGCTCGAGTTCAGATGCCTGTGCGGTCCTGGGCAGGTCGCCCCCGTGCCTGGCACCTCGTTCACTGGGGTGCAGGAGAGAGGTCCGGGGCGCATATCCGAGGTTCCTACCCTTCCTCCCCACCAGCCAGGGAAAGACCGGGAGGAAGCTCCCCTTTGGGTAAGGTGCCTTGGTGGGGGGGGGGGCTCCCCGGCTGGAGCGCAGGTGCATCCGCACCCTGGCCGAGCCCCAACCACACTCCATTGTTCCTGCAGCCAAGCCCACCACGATGCCGGCGCCGCGGCGACCCTCGGCGGCGCCCACCACCGCGCCGCAGCCCCGGAGCCTGCGCCCAGAGGTCTGCCGGCCCTCAGGGGGTGCCGCAGGTGAGGCGCGCGCGGTGGAGCCGAGGGCTGCCCACGTGGTGGGGAAACGGGGAGACGTGCCCGGGATGGTGGGTGGAATGGGGTCGGTCCCCGGGCCCGCTCCTAAGTGGCATCTTCGGTCTGGTCAGTGGACTCGAGGGGGCTGGACCTCACCTGTGACATCTACATCTGGGCGCCCCTGGCTGGGGCCTGCACGGTCCTTCTCCTATCACTGGTCATCACCGTCATCTGCAACCACAGTAAGTCCTGGGGTGCGGGTGCGGAGGCGTCTGCCCGGCTCCTTCCCTCCCCGGCTCGCTCCAGGCGGCGCCTGTCGGGAGCTAGGGTGGAGATTTGGGGAGGCTTCCCCGAGCTGCCTGGCGGGCCCAAGGGCGGCCCGGTTTGCACCCCTCTTCCCACGCTCCGGGAGGGTTTTGGAAGCCGGAGCCCCGGGTCGTGAACGGCGGCAACAGGAGGACTCCGCGGGTGTAGCCCGCGGAGCGCGCCCGAGGCCCGGCTCGAGGGGAGTAGAGGGCGTCGCCGGGGCCCTGGGCTGGGTCAGGCCGAAGCCAGGGCCCAGGCACTCCATCCTGATCCCTGACAAGGGCGCAGGCGCCCAGGCACTTGAGCCATTCTGCTCTGCTTTCCACCCAGTGGGTATTGCCGATCCTTGTGTTTGTAATGTTTATAACTGACGCCTGAGGCGAGGACTGGAACAGCAACTCTCATCTAAAAAGAAGTAGGAGAAGGGAAGGAGGGGTTGGCAACGCGAGGGGTTGGCAACGCGTGGTGTCCGGGAACACTCACTTCCGCCTTCCTCTTCCTTATCCAGGGACCCGCAGACGCGTCTGCAAATGTGCCAGGTGAGTCTCTCCACCCCCCCCCCCCCCCCCCCCCCCACCCCCGGCCATGGGCAGGGATCCCCGCTCCCTCCGGAGAGCAGCTTTTGGGGAGAGAGGCCAGGGCAGTGGAGTCCTGGGAGCAGACTCAGCTGAACAAAGAGGCAGGGGGCGCCAAGGTCTGCCCTGGGGGCCCAGGGTGGGGGCTGGGGCCGGTGACTTCAGCAAATCTCCATATTCCTTGGTCATAGCCCCACAAACTCACCCCGAGGGCTTTGCCCAGTGTATCCCAGCTCTTTGAAGGACCTGAAGTCTTTTTCTGATTGATTGATTTCCCCTGGGTTTTTGTTTCTTATGAAAACTTTCCATTTCTTGTCTACTTTGCCCAGTTTTTTTTTTTTTTTTAATTTTGAGGAAGAGCCGCACATTATGACCCACATAAATCTTGGCCTGGGTGCCTAATTTTTCTGTGATTATTGCCCCAAGATTGAAATGGGGGTACAGGGGGCATGAGGCCAGGGAGCGTGAGCCATTGGCAGCTCCAGTGGCTGCCACAGTCCACAGGAGCCCATGAGCATTTGGAAATCATCCCAGGAAAACACAGCAAAAGCCAGAGCCTGTGGGAGAGGCCTCCGTCTCCTGTCCCCTCCGCCGTGGCTGGGCAGCCCTGTAACACGTCACTGCCCGCCTTAGCCCGCACCGGGATAGGGAATCTATTCAGGATCTCTGTGAACCTCACAGCAACCTGGGGTGGCACACACCGCGGTCCCGGCTCACAGGTCACTGGCTCGGGGCTCACCTCCCCAAGGTGGCAGGAGGAGGGTGACACTCAGGTGACCGGTAGCTGCCTGCCTCACAAGTCGGCTGGCTGTGTCCATGGGTTCTGCACCTGCGGATTCAGCCACCTTTGAGTTGAAAATACTCAACACAACAGCACGCACAGGCTTTTTTCGCTGCCATCCTTCCCTAACAGGACAATGTAACCTATTTTACACAGCTGTACAGCATATTAGGTGTCCTAAGTAATCTATAGATGATTTCAGGTCTCCTGGAACCAATCCCCAACAGATACCTGGCCGGGGGCGGGGGGCTATATTTTCTAAATTTCAAATATTTAAAGTAGTTACTAGGATTTCCATTTTACAGATGGGGAAACTGAGGCTTGGGGCACTTGCTGTCAGCAAATAGCAGAGCTGCAACTTCCACCCAAAGCTCAGGCTGCTTCCTGTGGTTGGGGGACTGAAACAGGGGTGGGGCTGGGGTGAGGACTGGAAACAAGTACATACACCTGTTCCTCTCAACAGGTGAAAACACTTCCAATTTCCTACCTGGGCTTTGCATTCTGCACTCTCTGCAGGAATCCAACATCTTACACATCCTTATTTTAACAATGGAAATGTAACACATGTCCCCTGAGTATGTTACAGGAGATGCACCAAGGCATAAAGACTCTAAACACAGAGGGTTTGAAGCACTTTGATCACTTGGGAGCTTTTGCAAGACTCCTGTCTCATTTTGACACAAATAACTGAGAATAAACTCCTGCCCTGAAGTCCAAGGCTATGCAGATGGAGCCCACCTGCGTTCGCACACCTGCGCCAAGACACTCGGTGATGGTGGTGGGCAGCTTGGCTCCAGCAGAGCCTTTTTGGGGGTAGTGGGTGTGTAGATGTGACGCTGATGACAGAGGAGCCCGTTCAGGGGACGTTAGCCCAGTGCCGAGTTAACAAGCAATTCACTGTGACACCCCCCTTGAGTCGACCAAGCTTGATAAAGTAGTGCTCTCGGGCTGATGGGGGTGCCTTCGTCACCTCCTCCTCCATCCCTGTGACCCTGTGACCCTCCAGGGCCCACACCCTGTTCGCTGGTGAGCGTGGTTATGTCTCTTTCTCATACTCCCCTGGGAACCCTGACAGACTCCCAGAAGCTGGACTAAGGGTGCTGGGCCCCAGCAGACATGTTCTCCGCCCCTTCCAAGGCTGAGGGGTTGAGGAGCAGCGTGGCTGGATATGGACGCTGCCTGGGCAGGGCTCTTGCCGGGATGACAGTCTGCCTGCTTCTGTTTCAGGCCAGTGGCGAGACCAGGAGGCAAGCCGAGTGCTTCAGAGAGAACCATCTAACGTGTGACAGCCACTTCGCGACTTCAGACAGACGGCTCCTTATGAGAAGAGCAAGTCCTCCCCCCCGCCCCGCCCCAGCCCCAGCCCCAGCCCCAGCCCTAGCCCTGTATACCTTCCTATGTAGTGGTCCTCATTAGCTGGGTGGGGTGGGGGTGGGGGTGGGGGTGGGGATGGGGAGGGTTACTTTGTGGATTTACTCTCACAGACCCATAGTGCACACATACTGGGGTACAGGCCAGGAAGAGGCGGTCGGGGCTACCCAGAACTGCGAGCTCAGAGTCACGCAGACAGGGCTGAAGGTGGTCTCAGTGCCCTAGGGGTGGAAGCCTCTTCCCTGCCTGTTTGGGGGCTGAAGGCCTGACGGGTGGTGCGGGTGTTGCGATGAGTCACAGCACAGGGCTGGAGCCCACTCCTCTCCCAGATCAGCGCTCTTTTCCTTCACGGTTCCATGATGTCGCTGAACAGTTACGAGACCTGTGTATACCAGACCTGTGAAACCTGTGAAACTGTAGACAGCACAAATCCCTAGAGTCGAGTTGAAGGGGTGAATGGAATCCCAGAAAACAAATCTAAAAATCTCCGACCACACTGCTGCCCTTGCCCTTGCCTGCAGAGGCACCTGTTCCCAAGTCCACTGGACTGTCAGTACCGCCAGTCTCTCCACTGGAGACCACACTCCTGGCATCACTGGTGACTAATTGTGTTTTCTGTGAAGCTGGGATGGTTGGAGGGCTCCTCCTCCATCAGCAGATGCCCGGATGGGGCAGAACAGGCTGTGATGAGGTGGCCAAGAGCCAAAGCTGCTGCCCACTGCACATTTCCTCTCTTATGACCTTGACCAGCAATGTTTTCTCATCCCGAGAGAAGACTCACCCCTAATTGTTTACCTTGGGGGCAACCCTCTGTTAATATTACAGTGTTTTCTTCCAATTGTCTATGCATATATGTAAGATACCTTGTTTTCTGATCGGAAGTGTACTATACCTTTATTAAGTGGCTGTTAATAAACATTAATGGTATCGTGTTCAATGGCCAAAAAGTATTCTTTTGTTGTTACCATCTATACACTTATACATTGTTTCCAGTTTTCACTTCTGTAACACTAATAACACTTGGCACACGTTTGCTTATCAGTGTCCCACAGAACTCCTGGTCAGTCCCCACTGTCACCCTGGGGTCCCCACTTCCATGTCAACCAGCGGATCAGCACCCGCCTGTACCACCTTCCCTCCTTTCGCTCATTCTGGGTAATGGAGAAGCTGCTCCTCCCATAATCACATCTCCACCTCAATGCTGCCAGCCACAAGCCCAACCAACACGTTATTTCATTTGCCAGTGGCTGGCTGGCCTCGAATGTTGATTCTGCATCTCTCTACAGAAGATGCCCACGTTCTTGGGGCCTTGAAACAGAAAAGGCAAGAAAGGACTCTTGTCGTAAGCTATAAACTTAGTATCAGCTGGCTGGAATTCGGCCTTGATGTGGTTCATTTTATCAGTCACTCATTTAACAAAAACACATGCTGTTTGTGGAAGGGGGGTTTAAAAAAAAAAAAAAAAGAAAAAGTTCTCATTTTTTCCCTCTAGCTGGTCAGGGAGGTTCCCATTTCTGCCAGCTGCTCCTCCGGCGCATGGCACCATGTGTGCATCATTCCCTGCAGTTTCTATGGACAATTGGGTAGCACGTCTCCACGGAGGAACTACGGGAGGCAAAGTGGTGAGATGCAGGAGCCACGGAAACAGCTCCTGGCCTCCACTACTTGATGTGGGGGTTCTCTGGCGAGTGACTGTCTTGGCAACTAGATCCCCCCATACGTAAAATGGGAGCGTAAGCCTCTATCTTTAAATTGATTTTGGAGTTGCCTAGAACACAGCAAGCAAATAATACATGCTGATTAATCTCTGAATGCAGGCTCCTCCCACTTCCTAGCTCAAAGGCACCACCTTAACCCTTCCTGCTGGATACACTAGATCCGCCCCAGGGCCTCAGCCTCCAGTAAGAGCCAGCCCCAGGACAGGTGCCCACTCCCCCGCCTCTCACCCCCTGCCACTAGCTCCAAGTGTGACCAGGTTCCCCCAGGTGGGAACATTCTAAAATCATAGGGAAATGTGCAAAAGGAGCACGTGTTTTTAGTCTGCATTCCCTTAGCTCTTCACCGAGTAGGAAGGAAGCTGGCCTGTTCCTTCCCCGTTTGTGCTGCCTGTGAAGCCCTGTCTGGCTGACTTGGCCAGCGTGGCCAGGGTGCAGGGCAGAGTCCTGGCTGTGAACAGGATGGACATGAGGGGGCAGCAGAGTGGAAATACTGACGTCATCCCTTAGAAGCTCAGAGCAGTGCCCAGCCACCTCCTCTTCTCACATTGCTGGTGTCTCCGAAGGAGATGAGATGGTGACAAAGATATTCTAAGTCCCTCAGCAAATGCAGGCAGCTGCATGCTCCCTTCTGCCTGTCCCTGGGCACAGGCGTACAGACTGGCTCCACGAGAACACTTTTTAAATGTGCATTGTTTTTTAATTTTTAAAAAATATACAGAGGAGAGGCCATGTGTTTTACAAAGGAATATACATCAACAAAGCATTTCTTATAGTTTTCCAAAACTCTTCTTAGATCAATCCAAAATTTATAAATTAAATATATCAGAATTTTTTAAATTTAAAATGAAATCCCTGAAACCATGGGATATGCTAGACTTTTTCCAAAGCCAAATGAACAGAAAATATGAACACGGTCTGTGTTAAATAAGGTTTATTGTTAGCTTTATTGCCTATAGTCTATAAGATGCAACTTTATTGTGCCTTTGCAAACAGGATACATTTCTTAAAAAACTGATCAAAATTTTCCATACATATAGCTCTATATGATAGATTACAGTGCAACACTATTCTTATTACATAATTATAGAAATACTATCGAACCCAAGAGCACAGGGTAAGCCAAAGAAATACAATCCTGAGCCATCTGAACAAGATGATTGGATGAATCCTTTTAGTGTGAGTGTAAAAAACATGGAGGAGGAAAAAAATACATGCACACGCAGTCATGGCAAAATATATTCAAGCCCTGTGCTGGGCGCGACACAGGTGGGGGTCATGGTGAACTTCAGACACATGCACACTCACTCACGCTCCCAGTTTCTTCTGCTTCCCTCCCATCCGGGATACATTCACTCCCACCCCTTCCCAAAAGAAAAGATCAGGCACTAACTCTTAGTGAACCCCACATCGGCCTTGCTGGAGGTGGTCAGGTGACGGCTGGAAAACAGACAGAGTGCAGGTCCTCACCCACACCGTGAGGCACAGCATGCGGCGGAAGCCAATGCCAGCCGCCTGTGCCTCTTAGGAAGTCAGTGAAGCATGTGCCCACGACGGTCTAGAACCGCAGTGGGAAAATGTCTCAAAAAAACAAAACTTTCTCTTGCTTATGTCTTGAAGTAAAATCAACAGTGGGAAATTCACCCTAAGACTAACTGCCTCTCCTGCTATTAAAATACACTTGTCATTCTATTTTTGGTATCTATTCAATTCGAGTTCAGTAAGGTAAGTTCATGGAGCTTGTACGTGCTCATGGTAAACACCAGCGTACCACTTGAAGCCCGCCAGGCGGGAGAGGCTTGGGGCACACCAGCCTTGCCGGGTGTTCCTTGCTAGAACAGCCTCGAGACCACGGCACTCTAGTGTCACCAAGGATAATGTACACAGAGCTACGCAATGAAAGGTATTTGGTTTGTGTCTTTACCTTACACGTCCTAGTGATGAAACTAAGCAAACCATGCCTCCATACCTTCCCTGAAAATAACCTGAGTTGGCTGACCGCACAGCGGGGCCAGCGTGGCTGTCAGTCCACTTTATCAGAGGTTGAGCTGGAAAACCCGAGGGCTAACGTAGTCGACCAGCAGCTTGTCTTGTGCGGATAACCAAGAGTTCTTGGTTTTTGCAATACCCACGGTCCCAAAGGCTGTCGCCACTGAGGTGGAAGGAGCTCACAGCGTAAAGAACACTGAACTCAACTGCGGAGCCTGTGGGGCCTCTGGAGAGAAAACAAGGATCCTCACCGCCCACAGAACCTGGTGTGGGTTTTAGTGTCTCCGTATATACATGAGCTGCTACAGAAAAAATATCAGAACAGATTTACTTCCTAACTCTCGTAGTTTCAGCTAAATGCGCGCATACACACAAAATACATATCCTATGCATAAGAGGTGGCTCTTCGCTTCGAAAAGTTTCTCCGTGAAGAGGCACCAATACCCGTTCGCTGATGTAACTAGCAGTCTCAGATGATCACCGATAGAACAGAAACGGCATCTGCAGATGATCACACAGAGGAGAAAGAAAGATGGCGGGACAACCTTGGGACTGTAAACACCGTCCCTGAAGACACAGGCGCTCTGGCTGGGTCAGAGCCCAAAGATCTGCTCGTGAGCTTCGCGGGTGGAGCACAGTCCCCCGTGGCCTTTGTCCAGGACTGGTAAGTGGGAAATGGCTCCCAAAGAAGCCTCCCTGCAGTGACCCTCGATGCGTCTTTCCTGTCAGTGATCTGTGATGAACCTCGTGTCCGTCCTCACCTTCCGCACGCGGAGGCAGAGCGAGAGGAACCGCGTCCTCCTGTGCTTCCCCGCCTGTCGGCCGCTGTGCAACCAGGTGGCACGCGAGTGGGGAGGGCTGGGTGCTGTGCCGCGGCATCTTTGGTTAAGGTGCGGCCCCTTCAAACGCACCTCTCCTGCGCCAGCAGTCTCCGGCAAACTCTGTGTCCACGCACTTGAAGGTCACACGACGCCATCTGCACGTTACGCTGTCAGATCAAGAGGGTCCCGTTCGCTGGCCCTCTCCCTGCCCACTGGGCTGGCAGGAGCTGACGCGGGAAGCCAGGAAGTCCCACACTTCAGTTACGGCGCGTCCCTCTCAAAGTTTCAGGTGTTGCACAGAAAACCGTCGACTCCCAGCCCCGGGAGAGGGACAAAGCAGAGCTCTGGCTTTTGTCCTCACAAGTGGCCAGAGCCAACTGTGACAGGTGTCTGCCTGCTGAGAACCTAAGCGCCCGGCCTCCCTGCACGTCTGCTTCATTCAGACCTCCCTTAGACACCAGACAGTCGCAGGCGTCCGAGGGAGAAATGGGGGAATAAGCTGCAAAGCAAGCCAAATCTGACCAAGGCAAGAAGAGGTCTTGTTTTGCTTTAAAAAGGTAAAGTTTTAATGAAAAGGAATAAAAATCTATACAAGAAGCCATTTTCCACTGCGAGCAGAGTGCTGCCTGGAACTCCCTCGGCAGCCCGGGGCCCTGTCTAGCTTTAGCGGAGACAGGGGACCTTTCCAGAGGGTTCCAACTGGGAAGAAACACACGGCAGAGGCCGCCCGCTATGGGGCCAGACCGGCGCTGGGACAAAGCAGGCCCTCTGGGTCGGGCCAGTGGGGACGGCCGGCTGCCCTACACAGCACACAGCCCCAGGCAGCGCTCTCCAGAAGTCCCCGCTCTCCCAGGGAAGCTGCAGGCTGCACCACCCAGGCTCGGGGACCACTGCAAACGCCGCCGCCTGGCCGCCAGCCGAGCCCCGCATCTGTTTGCCCGCCCTCAGAGTCAGCCCCTCTGGTCCAGAGCGGGAAGCACCACATTTCTCTTTGTTCTGTGTTTTCTTCTGGCTTCGTTTTCTCCGTGTCTTGATGGTCAGCTCCACGGCAGATGAAATCCAGCTGCAACACACTTGGTGACTCCCATGTAACATTCTTTCACAACGAAGCAGCTTCGCGGGTTCGAGTCAGAATTAAGTCCACAGAAGTCTTCTCCGTGCAGTTTGTCATACAGAGAAGGATTCGTACACACGGCTATTTCTGGACAGTGCATTAAATGAACATCCCTCACAAGAGAAAAAGTTCATTATCTGAATCCATGAGAATACCACACAGATTCACAGTCAATGAGATGATACACTAGGTAGGAGAGACGCATCGGACAGGAAGCTATTCAGATACAAAAGTGGCAATAAACAGATTCAGCACTACTGACAATCTGCGAGCCGCTAAACTTAAGGGACGCA